CTCCCCCAGCTCCGATTGGCTCGCTGAGGGCGGGGGTGGAGCCCTGGGGCAGTGGCGAGGAGCGGAAGTGCGTGCCCCGGACGCGCGAGGGGACGCACTCATGGGGGGTCCAGGGGGGAAGATCAACCGGCCTCGAACGGTGATTTTTGTGGGATTGCTGCTTTGTTTCTCCAAGTTTCCGGGAGCCCTCTTCTGTCGCCCGAGATGGGATTGATGGGGGACTGGGATCGCCGCGGTAGTGGCTCTGGGTATCTGTGTTCCTGCGCGGCCTCAGCCTGATTCGCATCTTTATCCCTTGCAGGAGCTGAAGAAGAAGCTGTTCAAGCGCCGGCGGGTGTTGAACCGGGAGAAGCGACTGAGGCATCAGGTGGTCGGGGCTGTGATAGACGAAGGGCTGATCACGCGGCATCACCTCAAGAAGCGGGCGTGAGTACTAGACCTCCTGCCGTCGGTCCGCCCTCCGGCCCTAGCTCCGGAGCCGCCATCACTCAGCTTTCCTTGTACTTTCGCTTTTACGTAGGGAACGTTTGTCGGCTGTTCTGCCTTTCTTTGGATCTTCGACCCTAATGAGAATCTCAGGAAGGCTGTTGATTCTCCCAACCGCTAGTAACAATCTATATTAATTTAGGTATTGGTAGTAAATCTGCGCGCACGCCCTCCCCCCCCCCTTTTTGAGAGGCGGTGGGTATCAGGGATGGAACTCTGGAATATTCCACCACTGAGCCTCGTCTCCAGCCCTATTTTGTATTTTATTTAGGAATTGCCGAGGCTAGTTTTGAACTCGAGATCTTCCTTCCACAGCCTCCAGAGCCGCGTGTACCACCACGCCTGGCACGCACGCATCTTGATTCCAGTGACTCTGGAGGCTGAGGCAGGAGGATCCCAAGTTCCAGGCCAGCCTCAGCAATTTAGCGAGACCCTGTCTTTAAATAAAAAATGTAAAGGGCTCGGAGGGGCTGGAGATATAGCTCAGTTGGTAGAGTGTTGCCTTGCATGCATAAGGCCCTGAGTTCAATCTCCAGCACCACAAAAAAAAAAGGTGGGGGGGCTTGGCATGTACTCAGTGGTTAAGCACCCCTGGGTTCAATCCCTGGTTACTAAAAAAAAAAGAAGAGAGAGAGAAAGAAAAAAATATATATATATTACATAAGGAAAATAAAAGTATATGTATATATACATATATTACATAAAGAAAACAAAAGGGTGTAGATAAGTGTGCATAACTTGAATTTTCCCAAAGATACACATAGGATTTTTCATAGCAGTTTCAACGACGCTGCTGAGTCTTGGGAAAGACTACCTGTTCCATTAATCACTTTGTTGGTTTGTTTTCAGTACTTGAGGATTAAACCCAGGGGGCTTGACCTCTGAGCTATGCCCCATCCCCTTTATAATATTTAGTTTTGAGAAAGAGTCTGGTTAGGTTGCAGAGTATGGCTTCGAACTTGTAATCTTACTGCTTTGGCTTCCAGATTCACTGGGATCACGAGCCTGTGCCATCTTGGCCAGCCCTTTAATTACTTTATTTATCTTTTTTTTTTCCTTACCTGGGAGTGAGCCTCAGAGCAAAATCAAACATTGAGCTACATCCCCAGCCATTTTTTATTTTTTAATTTTGAGACAGCCTTGCTAAGTTGCTGAGACTGGCTTGGACCTGCCATCCTCCTTCCTTAGCCTCCTGAGCTATTGGGATTAAGGTGTGGGCCACCACCCTCACCTGGCCCTGTTAATTAGTTTCTACCTCCTTTCATTGACTTCTTAAAAATATTTGGAGTACTGGGGCTGGGGCTGTAGCTCAGTAGCAAAGCAGTTGCCTTACATACGTGAGGCACGGGTTTAATCCTCAGCACCACATAAAAATAAATAAAGATACTGTGTATCCATCTACAAGTAAAAAAATATTTTAAAAATATATTTAAGAGTACCTACTACATGTGGGACACTGCCATGTCATGTAACCAGCAATTTTCCCTTCCTGAATGGTTGAGGCACTGTTGGTCATCTGCACACCCCCCCGCCCCCCAATGATCTGGCTACTCTTAAGTTGCTGAAAATGGTAACCCGGATCTTGAGGGTAGAAATAATGCAACCAAATGTGTCTTCATGCGTAGGCGTGCCTTCCTCAACTCCATGAGTCAAGCTAAGCTCACCTGTTCCTTTGTGATTTTTACTCCTTACCCTGTTTGGGATAGAATGTTCCAGGGAGATGCCCTTTGTGTGTCCCCTTTTCTTACTCTGCCCTTGGGTGTGGCCTTCCTAGATGTCAGTCAGCCTGCTGACAGCAGACATCATAAAGCTAGACTCAGCCCCTTGAAACCTGACCTCTTGCCTCATTTGAATGGCTTCTGCTCAATAAAAGGGGTCAGCATGTGCTCACCTGCTTTCTCTCTCTTTCTTCGGACCCTTAAGGTCAAAGGAGCTATCACAGCACCCCCAAAGAAAAAGGTATTTCTGTCTCTTGTGTGGTTATTTTGCACAGCCCAGTTCTCCTGGAGTGACCCTGAGTGTTTTAGTCAAGAGCAAGCAATGCGACAACTACATACTAAACTTTAATGTTTAAGTACTATCTTTAATATTTGGTCCTGAGATATGTGTTGAGATTTAGATCAAATAAAGTATGTTAAAATCTAAAGTTGGAAAGACTTACAACCTTAGACTTATACAGTTGTGTGATTTGAATAGAAAGACACTTTCCATAGCCAGAAATACTTTTGTGACCTAGGTTGTTCAGTATAACCTGGGTGTCTTTGCTCCTACCTACCCTTCAGATCCAGTGCACGTGCCAATATTACTCTGTCAGGGAAGAAACGCAGAAAACTCCTGCAGCAGATCCGGCTTGCCCAGAAAGAGAAGGCAGCAATGGAAGGTGACACTAGGGCACAAAAGGAGGGAGAGGGGGAACCTGGGTTTATTTAGCTCCTTAACTCTTTCTCTTTCCTTTTGCTCAGTGGAAGTCCCTTCAAAACCAGCCAGGACTAGTGATCCACAGCCCAAACGACAAAAGAAGATTAAACCCCCTCAGGATATAGACATGGAGAATCTTGAGGATGAGAGCTAAGGTTCTTATCTCTTCCACCAGATTTTCAACTGGAGCCAACAGGATTGTGGTTGTTCAGAGTTTTTTGGCGAAAGCATTACCTGCTTTCACTCATCCCAGTTCCTCCTACATAATGGCTACTGACTTCTACTGGAGAGGGATATATTGGGAGGGAAGAGGGTATAAAAGAAAGATTTGAGGAGGGCCCAACTCTCATTTATGATTAATCCCTAGAGCTTTGACTGACTTGTGATAAAGTCTAAGGATGG